GGTGCCCCAGAGGATGCTGAGATAGAGGTGGACGGTGCCGTGTTTGCCTTTGGCACCGGGAGGGACCACAGCTACTCCAGCCCCCACAGCCCCACGTCCTGATGGCACTCGCTGCCCTCCCTGCATTGTCTGCCTGCCTCCTCCCTGCCTGCTGCTGCTGCAATGCAGCCTCCGCTGGCCTCGTCATGGCTGCCCAGGTAAGGGGCAAGCACCTGGCTCGGCCCCCTGCGGCCGGGCCACTGAGCAGCATCAGCCACGGGGTTGACACAGCGCTGTGGCACCCGCTGCACACCACAATGCGCTGGAAGAGGCAGTTGAAGAGGGCCTGTGTCACGGGGACACCCTCCTGCCTCTGCCCGTGTGCCCCCGGGCAGGCTGGGGGCTGCCTGGCACACCCCCTCAGACACAGTTACAGGAGGGCTCTGCCACAGCCCCTGGAGAGCCAGGAAGGGGAAAAAAATGCATTAAGCAACTTGCCTTCATGCTCCTGCAGCCACCCGCCTCTCTTGTACATAACCCAACACTTTTATAGTAAAGACACTTGGTGAAACCCCCGCCTGCGTCTTGCCTGCGAGCCCAGACCCCCAGCAGCGGGCTGGACCCCTGGGACATAGTGCAGCACCAGGCCAGCCCCAGGCCAAGTCAGAGGTGGGAGTAAGTTCTTTAATGATAATTACATCTCAGGGTCTAACAGCAGCTGATTGTCAGACTTGTACAGTTTAAAAATATAAAATCTAAGGAGGCTCCTATCTGTTTTGGTGCGGCCGGTGCCTGTCTGTGCCCAGCCCCTCACACGTACTGCTTCTTCTTAGTGGCTGCCTTGCTTGCCAAATCCTTTGCTTTCTCTGTAGCAGCCAGAGCTGTCTCCTTGGCTTTCTCGGTTGCTTCCTTGGCTGTTTCCACCAGTGTTTTGGATGGAGCTTCTCCTGTAACACAGAAATTGTCAGCCCATCCCCAGAGGGCCCCCGCCCTGTCCTGGCACAAGAATGCTGGCTGACGCAACCTAGACCGGTCCTGTCACCCTGGCATGGAGGTGACTTCCCCACACAGTGGGGAAGATGAGCCCAGCGGTCCCGACCTGCATGCGTCAGACCACATTGTGAAGGGGAACTGCAGGCACGTGACTGCTGCTGCGTTACATCCCCCTCCTGCCTGTACTCCACCCCTGCCTGGCCCTGTAAGTGCTGCCTGGCTGCTCTGCTCAGGAAGAGCAGGCTGTGCCAAGACACGGGGGCAAAGGCAAAGGATGAGGATTTCACAGTCAGATTAGTTCAAGCCATGACCTGCCTGTAGACTGGAGTGTACCCAATGGGACCTGTAACTCCAAGAGACCCGTCCCGGTCAGCCCCAGCCTGCCCTTGGGTGCTCACCTTGCATTCTTGCTAGCACGTATTCAAATCCCTTAGTGCTCTTGGTCACATTGCTTTTGAACCTGGCCAGACCAAACTCCTGCAAGGGAAAAGTCAGTGAAGGTGCAAGCCCAGCTCCCATGTCACACATAGCCCCTGGGGCTTTGTCCCAGTTTGTCCAGTCCCAAACATCTTATGGGCTCGTGCCCACCAGCTGTGATGGTTCTGGGTGCCCCAAGAGCTCATAAGGATGGGGGCAATGAGAGGAAAGGGCAGGAAAAAACAGGGAAAGGCTAGAGTAGGGGGGAGCAGCAGTCCTCTCCAAACAGGGGGCCCACAGTGCTGCTCAAGTAGTTGGCAGTGCTCACCTGGACAGCCCGCGAGACGCCAAACAGGCTGGAAGAGACCCAGGCCTCCCGCTTGACCTCGGTCCAGTTGCTGTTCTCCGGGTTCACCTGGTACACGCAACGCTCCTCCACCACCTGCGTGAGGCACAACCCGGCTGTGGGCACTGACTGGCCGCTGGCACCCAGCTGCCCGCCCACCCGCAGGCACCTACCATGAGACGAGCGTGGTTGATGTTCCAGGTGAACGTGGTCATGGTTCGGTTCTTGGGGTCCACGATAGAGTCCTCCAGGATGTAGACGGAGTGGGCGACGTTGGCTGGGAAGAAGCGCTCTGCCCAGCGGGGCATCCGGTTGGTCTTGGTCAGGAGCCGCCGGGAGAGCAGCTTGTGGTCCGCCGTCACCTCCCGGTGTACAATGTCTTCGGTCAGGACATGTTTGCTAAAATGAGGAGGGGGGAAAAAAACCCATTAAGCCCTGCTCCTGGTCAACCTGCCCCGGGGGCTGGGAGCCACCTGGCACTGCGGGGAAAGGTCTGTGGTGTTAAGGGAGAGGGAAAACCCGCATCCCGGTGCGGGACACCCAGCCCTGACAACTCCGGCGGGGGGGCGAGCAGAGGGTCCTGTCCCCGTGGGACCCCGGGAA